TCGTGACAATAGTTAGTACTGTTAGGAATGCTATTGGTACTATAGAGACCCTAATCACTGTCTGTTTTAGCTGGTTATGACTATCATACTCTGTTAGTCGTCCATTTGAGCTCAATCAGATATCCTGTGCACGATGCTTTTCTTTGGTGGTTATGGTCTGTTTTCTTTTGAGTGTACAAGTTTCCTATTTGGGGATAGACTCTCACTCTATGTTTCTATGTTTACTGATAGGCTGGGAGCGATACGGTCAAATCACACCAACAGACACTTTCTGTTTCATTCCATTCACATATTCGATGAACATGANNNNCTCTCTCTCACATATATATATATATATATATATATATATATATACATTGTTTACCGCGATTAGTAAGCCTACATTTAGGATATCTCATGGTCTTTGAATTTCACAGGCCACGGTTACCGGCTTGATCATAAGGAATACCGATCCCACATCGGTCGATGTCAGCCATCGAGTTCACTATTGAGCACGCAGAATGAACTGATATGCAAAGGTGATAGGGATACACAGTGCCAAATGCCTCGTTGAAGTAAAACAAATGGTGTGACCTACCTACTCCAACGCCGGGGCCAGGTTAATCAACTTGGCGGAGTGTACACCTGTGTGTGTGTGTATCAGTACATTAAAGCTAACAAAGCTCTCGATGGTTTTTCTAGCTTTCTGTTCAAGATGAACTCCTTAGCGGATGCAAACTATCAGATTGGACAAAATGGACATTTCGATCTGATTCTATCCGTGCATAACTTTCTGAACATGCAAAGTAGGGTCAAATGAGTAGGTATTGGAATCCGGGTCCTGATTGTGATTCGCTCGAATGTCCTTGAATCAATTTTTGCACCCCTCTGTGTGTGTATATATATTCACACTTCGTTTGTTGTCCTCCGGTGCTGCAGCTGGAGTGGCGTTACGGTGTGGTGCGGTGTTCGAAATGGGTCATGGGAGTGAAAAGTCGAAACCATCGTTTTTCTCACCATTGTCGTGGTCAAATGTTCTATGTGATTAAGTAATTCCGAACCGATTCATCCGTATCCCATTGACCTTTCAAAGTGTCTTTCATTGGCCTCTCACCGGGACGTTTATGCCATTTTCTATTCTTCCGTTTTTCACTGTTCTTGCTTTCACCCTCTTTCGCTCGGGGTTTTTGGGGGATCAAATCAAGGTGGGGTCAAGGTCAGTTACGGTCGTAATCAGGTGGCTGATGATGGTATGGACGTTTATCCCTTGACAATCTTTTGTTGCCTCCTTCGCAGACTACTTAAATGCATGCTTGTGTAGCATCCAACAAAGTTTAAGGGGCTAATCAGATTAGCCTTATTGATGCTGCATTAGTGGCATTGGATAATTCCCCCTCTGAACAGGATCACATTAAAGTCGTTCGCACTGGTGCATAAACAAAAGTGTCATTCGGACTCACTGACATAAATTTACTTTTGTCGAGATAAGCTTGCTTGTGGACAAGCTGGTTCTGGACAAGATGTGCCAGTGTGCTTGATTTTCAATGAGATACAATTCTGTCCCTGATCCCGTTCTTGTTTTCGTCGCATCGGTCATATACATTCATTTTTCACATTTCATGGACCGCTCTTAGCGCTCATTCAGTTATAATTGAACGATTGAAACGAAACATTAAAATACAATGAAATTCCCTCAACTTGTCGAGAAGATGCGATTATCTTGTGCTAAATTGATGATAATCATTTTAATGCATCATTTGCACAAATTTTTCTCGCATATAGGGCAGTTCTCTCAAGACACGATAGTAAGCCGATGAGCTTGTGATACTTATGTGACGCACTTGGCCGATACATCCCCCTCTTCTTTCGTTCGGGATCTGTCAACCGAAATTGCATCAGCATTCACGTCCGGCATTTTGTTCAGATCATCTTTTATTCGAAAATGTTACCAGTGCGACTGAATTACATCATACCCTTGTCATTCATTCTCTCACCCCACCCCATGCTTTTTAAAAATAATTTCTTTACCATATCTGTAGAGCGTCCCGCTGTTTTTCACTTTGTAGCCTATCTCATTCTGTCCTCACTCATGAGTCACCTCGATGCGTCTGAGTGATGCTGGGCGGCAAGCTAGTGCAAAGGCGAGACTGTGTGTTTGTAGGCTTTTTGTGTGATGTACTGCTACGCTACTTCACCAGAGCTGTTTCCATATCAGTTGGTTGGAAGCATACCGGATTGAGTCATCGTCAGTCGGGCTACCGCACAATCGATAATGACCAGGATAAGATCTGCCGAAATAATGCGCAACATTTGGGAATCCCACAATGAAGTGGACTTTGGTGTTATATCATACAACAGTTTTGCAATCGAGCAGTGGACATACTGTACGTGCTATCAATTGTTTCATCACTTGATTATTCTTATCACAACTCAGCTTCTGGGGGTAATCAGTGACGGTTTTCACACTGATCGCTGTTTTAAGGGTTAATGTTGGGGTTAATTTTTATTGTTCATTTTTATACATGCACTTGTGGCCTTTCTGGCTGAACACTAACAAACGGACGTCACTTGAAAAAATCGAACCCCAACATATATCAAATGAATATAGGGCTTGACATACATGACCCCTAATGGAAGGATTAACCTCGAAGACCGTAAAAGTATCCAGTAGGATAGATAAGACACTCAGTTAGATGGGCTTGTTCCACACTTTTTTCATCTTTTTCGCCTCCAATGTAATGCGATATTGATCTGATTTATCCATATGACATTCTCGGTGTTCTCCCCCTTCCCACCCCGATTCTCCTGGTTCCCAGGTCGGTAGCCAAAGCCTTGTAATTCGAGCAAATGATAACGGACTGACCGCGCTTCATACCAGTGTCACAGTCACTGTTCGTGTTGTGCGTCAGGCAAATTTACCTCCAGAAATTGTCCGGGGCAATGCCACACTAACCTACTATCGTGGTGGAAGTGGCAGTGGTGTTGGATCATTTACATCCTCAAGTCTTATCACATCTGCCGACCTGGTTGTCGCACGGGTCACTGTGAAGGATCGAACCGCTCATGATCGACTCACGTTTGAGTTGCTCCCGGATAGCCCCAGTGCCGGACTGTTCCGTGTGGACGCTTACGATGGGACTGTCCGATCGGTCTCCCCCACGGGCACATTGGCCGCGTCCAGTCCTCCCGGTTCGGATGACCGAAGTGCACCAGGTCCGCTGAGGCGCAAAACGTCACCAATTGGTCGCCTGGATTCTGGTCTGTACCCGTTACGGATTCGAGTCACAAACGGATCACTTGCTACAGAGGAAACTCTGTACATCAAGGTGAGTGGTTTTCAGTTGCCCATCCCGTGCTACCACAGCGGATGTTAAACAATAGTTAGCGCTCACCCGATACGTAGACTGGGAATGAGCACCCGATCGGCTTATATTTAATGTGGGTTTAAGCAAGGTTAATATACGGCAAGACTGAAGTAGTTCAATCCACTTAATGCCTTGCGTGGTTCTAAACTCAGTTATCATTGTGGACATAATTAATTCTAATGGGTAGCGTTTTACTGTCAGAACAATAATCTTCAACCCACTCAACGGCTTCGTAGGGTTTGTAGGAGCATGAATAAAAATCGTCGAAAAGATTAGCTTCCTCTGCAACAAGTATCGCAACAGTTACAAAAACGAATTATCCAGTAAAAAAGTCTGCATGTTAAAATCTGCTGCTCATTGTCAAGTGTCAGAGGATCTTTTTTCACACGCGACTCGGCGATATACGACATTCACATGTTTTTCCAAGCCCCAAATCGTGTTATCCATGCCCGCCATTCGGCCTCTCCGTTTGCAATGTCAGACCAGATTCGTGTATTGGCTACCGACCACGTTGTCTCCGTTCCCGATCGGACGCGTCATTGTCTGTTCTGAGTAGGCGTGCTGTCCTGTTTTGAATTCAATGCGAGTTGTCCGCTGTCTGGTTCCCACAGCAAACGGATCACCGCTCATCCCGATCACGTCCGTGCACACCGAGATAACTGGCTCGGCACAGTCGTCGGCGCAATTCACTTTTCTCCCTCTCTGTTGCTTGCAGTTTCTGTCGGCACTCGTTGTTTTGAACATTCGGTTGTTTCTTGCCAGATATTTACATAGCGAATCAGACCGGGTATTTCGCGTGTTTTTTTTTTCTCGCGGTGGGATTCGATCATCCACGCTCGACATTGAGAAGTGGGATCATAGCTTTTAGGAAGTTTTGAGCATTTTCCTCCCTTTCTCCTAAATACTCCCGTTTGTGATCGGATAATCAGATATAGTCCTTGTTTCACACTCGACTCGGGTCGAGTGAATCCCGCGGTCCAGACACGTTTACGTTTCAGTTCGGATTGCGTTCGGCGACGCCGATTTGTTTCCATCGCATAGATTACAGTTACAATTTACTTGTGTTAGTTTCATGGTGAATTTTTCATTCTTTTGTGCCGTGCCCGAGATGGGATTCAATCTTTTCCTCCTTGTCTAGGATATCAGAAATCGAGAGTCTAGTTGTTCTCCAACGCGTGTGCGCACGTTTTCTCTCTCTCTCTCTCTCTCTCCATCCTCTGTTCGAATCGATCTAACGCCTTGTTAGGAGCGTGCACCGACGAAGCGCCTGACAGGCGGTGCGCTGGTGTACCACTCACATTCCCCCACCGTGTCATTTCCCCCTTGTCTCGTTCCCCCTGCTTCGAACAGCTTTGTTTTAAGTAGAACGTTAGGAAGAGTGAGTGAGCGAGCGAAAATAGTCGGTATAGTAGTAGTATGTGGGTGCGATACGCGACAAGCAAAGTTTGCTTTTTTGAAGAAGAAGAAAGCGATCGGTTCGCGTAACAAGGTTCAAAACACCCGGTTCGATGTCAAATATGGATGTGATACGCCTGGATCATGGAAACGTTTTGTATGAGAAAGACAGCTATTTTTTTCCAACACGGCCTTCTTATTTGAGGCACAATCTAACTGAGACTTTCAGAACAGGTGTTAAGCTTTGATGGACCACTCCCTCCATACACAGTACACTATCGGACTCACTTTCTCACCTTACTTATTTTTCTGCTCCCATTTGGATATGACGGAAGGCTCGGACGAGAATGAATGAATTTTTGTTTTGAATTGTGTCTTTCTGCTATCTTCACTCCTTGTTTTTCCCCCCTACCAAACACACACTTTGTAGGTCGTCGCAATGACTGATGAAATGCTGGAATCAGCCACAGTCATTCGCATATCCAACCTGTTACCAAATCTGTTCTATATGGAGAATTACGATCGTCGCCTTCGTATCTATCTGGCCTCTGAATTGCTCACTGACCAACCACCGGTAGTAGGTCGATCACACGAGGATCTCGTGTCTACCAGCCTGGCGGATCACGTGTATGTTCTATCTGTCCAAGAAGCGGACATGGCTGTGTCCGCCAAAGATCGTCCCGGGGCGGTTCGTGTTCCACGTGGCCTGAATCGTGCCGTGGATGTGTTAGTCGCCGTGTACGATCCCCGAACACGCAAGTTTCTCGAGTCATCTGTGATCGCACAAGCGTTGGATCGAATCGCAGATACTATCTCGTCAGAATTTGGTGGTCAGGTGGAAGTCATTAATGATGTTTGTACACCACAAGTGAGTTCCACTGATCGTTTTCTTAGTTTGATAAGGTTTTACACTTTGATTCGACCAATAGGATGTGTTTGGAGCGATGCACAGGCATCCGTTACTTGTAGGGTAGAGAGTAAATAACGTTCCTCCTGTAGAACACCATCATTACCGGATGCATAACAACGATTCCAACAAGTGTTTGGTGGTTTCACGGAGTACGAATATCAGAATGCGTTCGCACTGCATCACGTGCGACCCGTTTTGCTTGAATTACTTATTCCCATTTGAATGCGCCTTG